TGAACACAGACTGACCTGAATATGTAGTAATTTCACCATAAATGCATTTAATTCAATAAAATGTAGTAATCTCACCATAAATGTATTTAATTAAATAAAATGTAACCATAAATGCATTTAATTAAATACTCCTTTTTTCACAGTCATCTTTTTACTTTAAGACCGGGGTAAAGCAAAGAAAGCTACAATTTACTTCAACAAGGCCATGAACGACACTCGTCTCATTCGTTGAGGTGGAAAAACAAGTTATTTGTGACATGCAAGATTTATTGTATACAGATTTGAATTATGCAAAAGAAAAGTTATGAGTCTGCTGTTTTTGTCAATTTTAAGTTTTAATTTAAAATGTTTGCGATTTTAATATAAGTACATGGTTAAATATGTTACCACTTGCTTGAGCAACTTAATATATAATCTAGGCCTATATAAAAGTAATGCATTGAATAATATACGTTGTTTAAATTGTGTTTTAAACGTGAATAGGCCTACAAAGAGAATTGCACTGGAGGCAAAAACTTTTGCTGCTGATAACTTGATTTGATTGATGATTTTTTGAAATACAAATAGTGAGTAAATGTGTTTGTGGTACAGCCGCGGATCAGTTGCGCACTGCAAACGCACGCAGCATATGTGAAAGCACTATAGCGCGTGCTGCTCCTGTACCGCATACGCACTGCACACGGAGTATGTGTGAAACGGGCATGCACAAATTCTGGCCTACATCAATACAAAATCGAGGTTTTGTATTAACAGTCTCTATTTGTACAAAATGCTGCACATTCATGTGATTTTGCACACACAAGTTGTATTGTATTAGTTTAAATGTAGTGATGCACATTTGTGAATTTGTGAATTTGTGCACAACTACCCAAAATAAATGGGTAGTTGTGCACACATAATAATTAGCACCAGGCCTATTCATTTGTAGTTGTTTGTGTGTGGGTTGTGAAATGCTTAAAAACTGCGAAAAGAAAGTCTCAAAATCCAAATTAATCAAATGAGATCGACAAAGAAAAGACGTCAATGAATGCACGCGCGTCACCTGATCCACACATCCACATCTTCTGTGTTGCATGTGCAAATTATGATACACTAATACAAAGGAAAACATTTGTAGTCACAAAAATGTCTCTATTTGTACAAATTGCTTCACATTCATTCAATTTTGAATTTTGCACACGCAAGTTGAAAGGCATGGATAAAACATTTCTGCAACATGTATCAAGTTCATTGATAAGTGTGCTTGCACGTGTTAATCATTTAAATACTATAATCATCCCATAGGAGGAAGACCAGAGCAACAGTTAGAGCAAGACATTCATTCATAAAAACTCATTTACAGCAATTGAGCATGCATTAAGTTTTTGTGATGATTATCTGGGTCAGTATATATGCGGAAACGATGATAAAGACACAAAAACTGTGTTTATGTTTAATTAAATAACTTTCCTTGTTACTTTCCCTGTGTAGCCTACATGTTATCAACTTTCTCTACCATGAACGGGATTATAATCGGTTTCCTCCAATAACTCGTCATCATACTCAAGAGCCGCGTTTCCACTGCCGGGCCAGGGCTAACAGCGAGCCGAGCCAGTGGCCTCGGGCCTCAACAAGCACCGGGCTTGTGTTTCCACTGCCGGGCCAGTAGCCCCGCAGCGCTGCCCTAAACCCCGCCCCTAACACGCCTTTCTGGATCAAACGTCATACAACCCAACCCATTTCAGCGGGTATTATGAATCTATTTATTTTTTAAGTTAGGAAGATAGCATGTATATTAACTCACCGACCGTGGCTGCAATAGTGTCCAGATTGTCTCGCGAGTAGCCACTAACAGAGGGACGGTGACCCAGCACACCGTCCATCAAGTCGAACTATGGAATTTGGAAAGTTCCTTCTCTGAGCTCCGCTTTGTCCATTGTGCGTTTGAATCGCCTTGTACAATACTGCGCCCGCAACTTTTTTTCCCCTGAACTTGAAGCGTTGCTTGCTGAATGCTTAGCTTAGAAAGTTCAGCATCGATGTATTTTATAACGTCTTCGTTTCTTCACACGCCATCAAATTGACGTTGTACCCTTTCTTCTGCCCAAATGCTCAGAAGAGCTTTGCTATCTTCGCCAGACCAGTACAGGCGATTCACCATTTCGAGCAGTGATTATTTTGCGCGATATAAAAAAGTGAAATGTGCATCTTGCTTCAGATCATAACGTTCAATAACACCGATAAACTCCGCCTTTTACCTTGACCACGCCTCTAGCCCGAGCTGGCCCGCTTTGGCCCAAGGTATTCGACGGGCCAGAAATCCTGGCCGTTGGCCCCGAGTAGCCCCGATCAAGCCCCGGAAGTGACAGTGGAAACGCGACTGGCCCTGGCACTCAATAACCGGGACAAGAGAGGTCCCGATCGGGACAAATAAATTAGGCCCAAAAATCGGGACGTCCCGGCTAATTCGGGACAGTTGGCAACCCTATAATACAGTGATATAAAAGACCAAACTCGCACCTTGGGGATGTCTACTATAGGCTACTCCTGCATTAGATTAAACTGGGAAGGGTTATGACACTTGCATATTGTATTGTAGTTTAACTGTAAGTCGCTTTGGATAAAAGCGTCTAAATGACTATGTAAATGTAAAATTGGCTTGACATTGGACATTCGCACATTTAGAGACCGTTTCTAAAGTTGCATACAACATTGGTACACGTTTCTAACTTCAATCAATTTATTTGAATAAATATCAAAAATCTAAAAGGTGCGCATTATGCCGGACACCTACAGGAACACTTACAGTTGGTTTTACGACTGTCGTTCTCTTCCAATGCTATTGAAGTTAGAACCGTGTATACCAATGTTGTATGTAACTTTAGAGACGGTCCAATGTCAAGCCAACTTTATGCCTGTATATCACTGGGACACGCTCAGCATTAAACTTTGCGAGTTAAGTTCATATTCTGAGTCCATCTGCTTGCCTGCGAGTTTGGTCTTTTATATCACTGTCTGCAGCTCAGAGCGTCATCAAGTAGGGGCATGTCCAGGAGCTCAAGGGCTCCAGTGCGTCATCGAGCCCTGTTTTAGCCCCGCCCAGAAAATCCGTAAAATATCAATGGTGAAAAACTGTTTAACGGTCTAACTCCACAATTCAGTACTTCACAGTTCACAGTCTTTGTAATATGTTTTAGCAATACATTTCTAACATTTATAATGTGTTTAGATTTTTTTTTTGAAATTGCCTTTACAGGGACTTTAAGCGTTTTATATGTCCAGCAGGGGAATCCTGAAGTAGCCTATTGAGGGAAACCCTAAGCTACTGCATGCAGCACATTGCCGCAATATAAAGTTAAGGCAACTAAACAACCTTTCTTTTTAAAAAGAGAAATATATGTCAACCTCAAAGTAAGATTGGATCTGTACATCCGCATCGGGGTAATAACATTATAATCATGTTTACGGTAGAGAAAGATGCATGTAGGCTACACAGGAAAAATAACCGTGAAGACACGATTTAACATAAAACCGCCGTCATAATAATGACGATAAAATACAAATACACTTACATTGCTGTAAATGAGTTTTTATGAATGAATGGCTTGCTCTAACAGTCTAACTGTTGCTCTGGTCTTCGTCAACAACACGCGCTTGCACCTCCTGCTGGTGAGATCGACTAACAGCAGATGGAGATTATGCTCGGTAATCTGTTTAAAAATCCTGCAGTTCCTGGATGTCAACGTTGAATTTACTGTCGAATTTGAACCAGTGAATTTGTGGTGAAAGCGAAATAAAATGGACCGAAAATTGCCTGTTGAATATTAGGTTGTATTTTTAAACAATTTGAATATTTTGGAAGTGAAATATGAAAGGTGATTATGGATTATTGAATTTTTAATAATGAAAATGTGTTGAATTGAAATATTCACAGTTTAATTATTCAACCATGTTGAAATTCAGCCCATAAAAATACAAGCCCTAAACATACAATGCATTAAAATTAGGGCTGTCAAACGATTAATCGCGATTAATCGCATCCAAAATAAAAGTTTGTGTTTACATAATATATGTGTGTGTACTGTGTATAATTATTTTTAATACATAAATACCCACACATGCATGTGTATTTAAGAAATATTTGCATACTGTATATAGACTGAATGTAGCCTATATATAATGTATATTTTATATAAATATAAACATTTTATATATAAATAACATATTTTTCTTAAATATATACATGTGTGCATTTATATACAAAATAATTATACACAGTACACACATATATTATGTAAACACAAACTTTTATTTTGTATGTGATTAATCGTTTGACAGCCCTAATTAAAATGCAAGCATTCAACAAGCTTATTTCTGTTTCAAAAACATTTGCCATTTTTTTTACTTCCCATATTCACTGCAGCAACTAGCAAAACTAATTTGTGATTCATAGAATAGAATGTGTGCACATGCAGTGAAGAATTTAAGGTGTAACTGTTGTGGTGTGTTTGTTAGAGAGAGAAAAAAATCTACAAGTTTGCAACACCTAAAAGAGTTTTCTTTGTGACTTCAAATTTATTGATACACATAGCTATTCTCTACAGCCATAAATTCTATTGTACAGGTGCTCAGTTGTTCTGCTCCAAAAAATATTCATATTCATATTTTTCAGCGAGAGTGGAGTGTTGTAGATTCGTCTCCATGGCAATGATCGGTTACGTCAACGGCGCGTGCGCATAAATAAAAAGGCATAAAAACTAACATTTCATCCCCCGATTAACTAGTTTTGTCCTGAAATTAAATGTAAACTCCGGAATCAATATAAATCGGATTAAGCTAATCAGCAACCACGCAAACAGAAACGCTTAAAAAATGCACTCACGTGACACGTTAGCCCTGTGCTGCCTCTAGAGGGAGTCCTGGGAAATGTTGTTTTTAGAGTTCTAGTATGTTAAGACACCACTGAGGGGTTGGTTATGTAAAACTACAACTCCCATCCTTCTTCCTCTCGGCAGCCGTCTCAATGTTGTTGTTCGTGTAGTCTGATGTTGATGCTTTGGCTAGGTTGGAGAGGCGTGACGTTTAATGCTAGATTTGCACAGAGGACATTTGCCTTCTTCCGCTGCAATTTACCATTAAAACCGGTAAGGACAGCTAATAAGACACCTAATTCAGTTTAAAGTCACCATAAAGCTATAGCAGGACTGACAGATTAAAGAGACTCATTCATATTTTGTACATTTGAGCCAGTGTTAGTCATTGTATCTGCTCATCTCTAAACTACAGCAGTTCAAGTCAGGTAGTGAGACAAATCGGTCGTTTTGGTCGTTGTTTAGATGCATATATATTACAAGTCTAACTTTAGATTATATCAGTCTACTGCCTCGATTTTATTTACCTGAATTGTTCTGAAATAAGATGCACTCTGACATAACCCTCTAACTGTTGTCATATCTATTTTGTACGGCTTTAACCATATTGTCATACTTCACAGAATCAAACAAGTTTTCTGGATCATGCACCACCCATTTACTTCCTATCAATCTATAACAGGGAAAGGGGGTTTCAAATTCAATCTTTTAGATGCCACGGACCCCAAGTATGAGGGAACTCCATCCTAAAACTTAAAAGGCAGCTATATATTTTCTTGCATATAATATTTCTCTATATAATTTCTCTATTTTCTTAAAGACCCCATTAATACTTTGAAAAATGAATATTCTAAATATTTGTAAATATTATTGGAAAAATATTTATTTTCTATTACGTAACATCATCGTTATTTTTCTACTCACTATAGTACTGTACTGTTAGATTTATTATTTATTTAAATCACATTTGATTTATTTTAATACAAATTTTCACAATTTCAATCAAAATTTGGCTAGATAAATAATGTAACCTTGTGTTTATTAATCTTTGATTTTTTTTTTTTTTTTAATACTGTTTTTCTCTGAATATTCAACCCCTTCGTACTCCCTTGTGGCCATATTGGGGGTCCTCGACCCCAGTTTGAAAACCCCTGATCTATAATACAAAAAAGCACCTAAATATCATGGATCAGATGCTTTTTGCACCCCGTGTTTAGGCTAGTAGTTTTGTTTGGATGATGTCATACATGTGCAATGGCACTGTTCTGCTTTTTTGGATGGTTAACAAACCAGACTGTGCTATTTTTGTTGGCTCTTTCTGAAAAACAAACCAGTGAAACAACCAGATTATAGTTTTGACTCAGATCTGTGGTTTTTAAAGACATAGTTCAACCCAAAATGAATCCTCACATTATTTACTCACCCTCAACATGCATGCTGTTTTCATTCAAAAACATTTTGCATGAAGTTAAACCAGAATACATCAGATTTCAGTTTACTGTCAGATATATAATGAAAAAAAGCTTCTTTATTTGTGTCTGCAATTCTTCGTTTATGTAGATCTCTATTCGTATGGCTTCTGCAAATGCAGACTAATCATTTACCAGTGGCAGGGTCAACCTGACATTTCTATCCCGTAAATGAGCGTTCAGGTAGACGTAATTACAGAGGACAACAACATAAGTTGTGTGTTTACATTTGTTTTCTAGCTGGTTGAGAGATGTCTGAAAGCTCCAGTGACACGGAGTCGTCCTGTGGATGGACAGTCATTAGTAATGAGGTGATTAATGTTTTATTGGTATTTGCTACCCATCAGGTATACTGTGCTGGTCAGAATTATTTGCCCCCTTGGTAAATATGATCAAAGATGGCTGTAAAAAATACATTTGCATTGTTTATCCTTTTGATATTTTATTTTTTTAAAAATGCAAAAATCTAACCTTTTATTGAAGTAAACGAATTGAAAGTGGGGGGAAAATCACATTATGAAATAATGTTTTTCTCCAAAATGCACTGGGAACAATTATTTGCCCCCTTTACTTTTTGCAACCTCCTTTTTCCAAGATAACAGCTCTGAGTCTTCTCCTATAATGCCTGATGTGTTTGGAGAACACCTGACAAGACATCAGAGACATTTCCTCCATACAGAATCTCTCCAGATCCTTCAGTTTCCCAGATCCATGTTGGTGCTTCTTCTCTTCAGTTCAGCCCACTCATTTTCTATAGGGTTCAGAGGTCTGGGGACTGAGATGGCCATTGCAGATGCTTGGTTTTGTGCTCAGTGACCAATTTTTGTTTTGATTTTGTTGTTTGTTTTTGGATCACTGTCCTGTTGGAAGATCCAAACACGGCCCATTATAAGATTTCTAGCAGAGGCTGTCAGGTTTTGATTTTTTATCTGTTGGTATTTGATTTGATTAAAGATACAGCAGAGTATTTCATTTTACGCATGGAGTACTTTTTTATCCCTGTGTGCACCAAACCCATCTTAAGTGTTAGCTGCCATAAAGCTCTTTTTTTTTAGTTCAATCTGTCCATAGTAACCGACACTACTGGAACTTTAAACGGGACGGGTTCTATGGTCAAAAAAGTACCCCATGTGTAAAATGAAATACTCTGCTGTATCTTTACTGCTCTGGGCCTAATTTTCTGTCAGAGGTCCTGGACATCTTGTTCAGATGCATGGCATCATGGATTTGATTAAAAACCAACAAATACAAATAATCAAAACCTGACAGCCTCTGCTAGAAATCTTATAATGGGCTGTGGTTGGATCTTCCAACAGGACAGTGATCCAAAAACAAACAACAAAATCAAAACAAAAATGAGTGACTGAGCACAAAACCAAACATCTGCAATGGCCATCTCAGTCCCCAGACCTCTGAACCCTAAAATGAGTGGGCTGAACTGAAGAGAAGAAGCACCAACATGGATCTGGGAAACTGAAGGATCTGGAGAGATTCTGTATGGAGGAATTGTCTCTGATGTCTTGTCAGGTGTTCTCCAAACACATCAGGCATTATAGGAGAAGACTCAGAGCTGTTATCTTGGAAAAAGGAGGTTGCAAAAAGTATTTAACAAAAGATGGCAAATAATTGTTCCCAATGTGTTTTGGAGAAAAACATTATTTCATTATGTGATTTTCCCCCCACTTTCAATTCCTTTACTTCAATAAAAGATTAGATTTTTGATATTTTTTTAAATAAAATATCAAAAGGATTAAAGACACAATATGTAAGATTTTTGTAATAAAATATCCAAAAATCACTTGCACAGTGTGATATATTTTCTCTTGTTGTGTACTTACAATATCCCAAAAGTTCCCAAAGATTTTTATTTTCAGAGAAATTCCAATTTTAAATAATGGCTCGTCCCTGGTCAGTGTCGCCTGTCAATGACGTAATATCCGCGTTATCCCTGGTTTCCGCTTGTACTGCCATAGTAACCATGGCGACAGACGTGGACAACGGCGTAACGTCTAGCAGCTCGCTGTTGTTGTTTCGTTCAAACATTATGGACCATGGCAAGCAGACTTTGGGAAAAAAGGAGAACTAAAACGAGGATCAATATCGGCGTGGCGTTTTTAAGATGCCGAGAGCTCCACGTCCGCGACTAACTTCGACTTGATAGAGATGCCGCTCTTGCATGCACTTTATTAGACGTGAGCAAATGTACATAAAACGAATCATTGTTATATATCTCAACATGATGAAATGTTAGAATATGATCAGTATGCTATTCTAATGTTGATCTAGCTTACTGCTTGTCTCATAAAGCCAACAAACTAACACATAGAATAACATTATAACTTTCAACACACTCGAGTGCAGTTTAGTATGATAGTGTAGACCAAGTGAAACAGCGCTGCGTTATCTCACAAGTTTAATTTGATACATAAACTGACCAGTTTGAGTAGTAATTCAGCATTTGCGGGTAGTTCGGTAGAATGAAATGTCCTCATTCCTTTATATCCGCGGGACTTGCGTGTGGCGCTGATGTCTGTCTCTCATTAGCAATCGCGCCCTGCTTCATACCACAGTAATGTTAAAAAACATGAATGTATTCACTCATCCATAAACATTATTAGATCCATAAGCATGACGACAAGGTCCATAATTCAACCTACGCCTTTGTTATTGTAAGAGGTTAGCAACCCCTAGCGGCGAAAAAAATTACATATTGTAGCTTTAACAATGCAGATTTATTTTTTACTGCCATCTTTGATCATATTTACCAAGGGGGCAAATAATTCTGACCAGCACTGTAAATGCTTTTGGGGAGTTATCCTTTTATGATCCTCTACTAGGTAAATTAAACAAAGCCTGTCTAGAACACATACAGGTCACATTTTGCTCCAAAATCTAAAGATAGAAATATTAAATTATTTTTTGCATAAGGAATAAATAGCCTATTTTTAGGACCATTATTATTATTGTTACTTTTATTGTGGCATTATTTTCATTTCCACATTTTCTTATTGATGATAGCTACTCATTACATATTCTTGATTTTGGGTTGATATATATATATATATATATATATATATATATAATGAAGAAATGTCCGAAATGAATACTGTTAAGTTTCACTCAATTAAATATATATATATATATATATATAATTGAGTGAAACTTAACAGTATTCATTTTTGACATTTCTTCATTATTCAGTTTAAAAAGTAATATATACGTATATATATATATATATATATATATACAGAAATTACAAAAGTTTATATATATATATATATATATATAGCTATATATACACACATTTTGTAAATGCAAATTATGTATATACATGTATACAAATGACATTTTATGTGTAATTATTTTATGTAAATTACAAATACAAACGTGTTTTTCACTAATATCGCTGCTGCTGTCTTTTATTTTCCACTTTTAGAAGCCAGTACAGATGCTTTTTTATTTTGTTTACTAAATGCTCAACAACTTTATTTTTAAAAGTTTGACCCTTTTAACGTTAAGCCATAGTGATAACCTTGGTGTGTGTGTGTGTGTGTGTGTGTGTGTGTTACAGGGTTCGGACATTGAGACGCTGGGGCCGGATAACACTGGAGAGTGTGAGGATAGAGCAGTTAGCTGTGCTCCGGACATACCTGACGGTGAGGATGTCACCCTTTGTGTCATTCAAAATGAATAAACTCAAAACTATTTTTTTAGGGATGTCCTGATCAAGTTTTTGGTGCCTCAGATCCGAGTCATTGAATATTGAGTATCTGCCGAGACCGAGTCCCGATCCGATACTTGCAGTTTCCTAGTGCTTGGTGCAATTTTCAAGTACATTAAAGTTATTAAAAACAATCCAATGTATACAGGGCCATGCAGAGAGTTTCTTAGGGGCTGGGGTTCAAATGTAAAAAATAAGTATTTATCAGTAATTATATTTATAGGCCTATATGTATGTTTATTATGACAATATTGTGTGTGGTCACAATTATAAATATGGGACAACTGATATAAACTTCTTGTATTTTATATGTACAATAAGCAGAATAATTGCAAAAGTATTTAAACTTTTGAAAGCATGACGCCTACAGTGTCAGAATGTCCAAAGCAAGACGCAACCCACAGCAACGCGTTATGGCAACAACGTTTCAGACAGTCAGATGGCAGATAAAAGTAAACAGTAAATAAATTACTTTCAATGTTGGGTTTTCAGACGAGCGGGTTGAGGAGAGTTTGGGAGAGACTTCTTTAGACCTCACACTGAGAGAGGAGACAACAACAGAGGAGGCACCTGCCCAAAAGGTGTGATTAAATCCAAAAATTACCTCTTGGCATGTGTTATAATTGTTCTGCAGAGAGGAATTCTCCAGTAAGCCAGCTTAAAGAAGGGGCATTTATGTTTTCTTGCAGGCCGGAGATAATGTGGGTGGGGAAGAACATGTGATTCTTTGCTCCTCCAGTGAGAACTCTGACATCCTAACCCTGCCAGACTCTTGTGAGGCGGAGATTGATGCATGGAAGGAGCCTGTTGCCAAGGAGGCAAAGGAAGCAGGAAGTGACGAGTTCTATCTCGGAAGCTCATCGAGCAGCCAGTATACTTTTAGAGAATCTGAGACAAGTGAGTGGAAAATGTTGCCTTCAATTCATGTTGGAATGCTCGTTTTTACATGCATATCAATGCCGTAATTAGCAGTGGAATTATCTTTAAGACTGACTGACTTTACGAATTAAAGAAAAAAATCATGGTGCGCATACATTTTTGATTGTTTATTGATAAAGGGTGCTGATGGGGCCGATCACTGATTACCAATCACTGAAAGTAATACCGCCCGATACCGATCACTGACCCCAATCACCGAAATAAGTAATACTACATGATAACGCTTCAAATATTCAAATAGACCCATGAGGTTATTTTGCTATTCTTAACAACAATGTACTGTATGTTTAGTATTAAAGGTGCAATATGTAATATTGACAGCTAGCTGTTGAAATGGGTAGTGCAGTCCAAATTCAAAATATTGGAGAGAGTTGTTCCTCCCCGCCCCCTCCTCCTCAGACTCGACGCTCACACGGGTTGCCAGTTTGAGGACGTGCAATAAGAATGAGTGCAATTGACAATGGATGAGCCTTACACTGAGCTGCGCGATTCTGGGTAAATTGAGAATCACGATTTTTTTTGTTTCAAATAGAAATCACGATTCTCCCATGATTCTGAACAGACAACTAAACATTATAACATGTAATGTACTAGAAGTTCTGACAAAATGTTAATTATTGCTGTCTATTTAAAAATGTTAAATTAATTTGAAAGAATAATTAAAAAAAATCGGTTTGAATAAATGATTCAATGACTCACTCATAAACACTTGTTTCATTAATAGACGAATCGGCGTTTTTGAGCGAATCTCTCGAATCAATGATTCAATGGCAAATATATTATTTAAGTTACTTGTCGCCACCTAGTGGCGTAACAATTAGGGGTGCACGATATTGACAAAAAGGTGATATTGCGATATCGATAATGAAAATTGCGATATCGATATTAATGTAGATTTTTTTAAATGTATGTAAAACTACAAAAGTTTTCTTACAACATAAGGTTTATTTCAACTGACAGGCATATTGGACTGGTAAAACATGAATAAATAAATAAAAACCATGTCTACAGAACAGGACATGTTTTACTGGTTGTATGTACACTACAGTGTAAAAAACAATAAATAAAGAGCAAGTCTACAGAACACACCTAGCCACTTTATGCGTTTTCTGTGATCGGATAGCTATCTGATCGTGAAAAGACCAGGTGTAAATGCCCTCCGAAACGCGTTCGAGACGGATTTGAATCCGATCGCTGAAACCACTTCAGGAGGAGGTCTGGGCCGCATTCCTGACGAAACTGGACAAGTGTAAATGCATCTCGTTGTTGAAACCACATATGTAAAACTTACCGTACTCCTCCCAAAAACGCTAAAAATGAGAACATGTTACAGGCTACATGTCATGTTATGGCCAGATATGACGACGCGTGCAACTGCAACACGCATCACCGCAGATGAGCAGCCGAGCATCTCTTCATCAAGCAAACGCGCAAACTATCGCAAATCAAAGTGAAAGTAAGTCGCAGACGCTTTACACACAATTACCTTCACTAAAAGTAAATAAACGAAATGATCTTAACAGGGCTGTTGCCGTTCTCTCTTACTGCGTTATTTGATTTTGACATTTTAGCTGATGATCGTAAAATGCAGCTCATAACTGTTGCTTTCGGGGACGTGCACTCCATTAAATCTGCATATAGCTCGGGAACTGAACATCGGATTTATATCCGTTTTGCAAAAACACATTTTTGTGACCAGGTGTAAAAGGAATATCGTTTTGATAAATCAGATAGCTATCCGATCAGTGAAAACGCATGAAGTTTATACTTGATGTTTATACTTATGTTTATACTTGTGCGCTGGTGTGTGCGTCGAGCCGGCAAGTGTGTGTGTGGGGACTGTGTGGTAGTAGAGCAAGGGAGAAGTGAGAGAGTGACGGCGATTAGCTTTGGAGCGAGTAGCGACTCTACAGTCATATTGAGAAAAACAAAGGGTCTCCCCTGTTCTTTCTGATCATTGTGGAAAATCTGTAGCATGAAAAGTTAATCCTCTCCTTGATTTCATGTTGTTTATGGAGAAGGAGAATCAGGAAATGAGTCGGGGGAAATGCAACGGTGCATGTCGGACCGGACGCATCATAAACAAAATATCGCATAAATATCGCGAGACTTTCGATATGATATCGAGCAACGTGATATCGCGATAACGATATTGATTCGATATATCGTGCACCCCTAGTAACAATGTAATCGATACAATTGTTATTTGAAGTGGCAGGATACTTTCAAAAGTGGATTTGCTCTATTTTGATCGCTACTATAGACATCAGTGTTTATATATGATCTATTAACTTTTATCTCAGTACTTTTGTGATAATACTTATTTGAAACAAAGGTTTTGTTAGAATTTTTGTATACCGGCAAATCGTTGTCATTTAGGAATGAGATCGCATGGGTGTTTGAATCGAGATCGCTATCATTTAAAGATTAATCGTGCAGCTCTAAAGGCCCTTGCACATTGAGTCCGAAATTTTCGTATGCGTTTTTTCGTATACGTGATTCGGTGGCTCTGAATTGTTAAAACACCATTCAAACTGCTTGCTACGGATGCGAAAAACGCAGAAAATTGAACCCGATCCGATTTTTTCTATGACGGACGAAAGTTTCAGAGGCAGTGTGCAAGCGTGATTGACATAACATGAGGTCGTATTTATTTTTTAACATGCGAAAATTTCGGCCGCAAATTTGCAATGTGTGCAATGGCCTTAACTGTAAGTTTGAGTTGATTTTTTCCCGTTTTAATATGCTTCTGCGATCTCTGACCCAGTTCGTTTGCTGACTTCCATGGCTAGGATACTCTGTGTTTTCAGCCAACTGGCAATCCGGGGTGTTGAAATACTAGTAAATTGGCAGTGGGCAGGATAACACAGACCAAACAAATCACACACACATACAAAAATAGACATTCCGACAGGGAACGTACATGTCAAAGTAGAATAACTGGCTGTAGCATTGTTTTTCTAAGAAACAAGTATGTGAACAGCATTTTTTCCAAACATCTGTAAACATATTATGGTATTCCTATGCTTTAGTACAGTCAAAGAAATTACGTATAGCACCTTTAAGAGATAAGAATGAATCATGTATTGACAACTCTTTATTTATTGGCAAGCAACATAATTTGCAACATATTTCATTCCTTCTCTTAGAGATGATTAGGAACAGCTTAGTTAATGCACTGTGAAGTAACATGAACAAACAATGAACAACTGTATTTTATTAGCTAACTTTAACAAAGATGAACAAATACAGTAATTAATGTATTGCACATGGTTAGTTAACACATTAACTAATGTGTTAACAAATACAACTTTTGATTTTTAATAATGTATTCGTAAATGTGGAAATTAACTTTAACAAAAATTTATAAAATCTCGTAGAAGTGCAGGTCATTACTAGTTCATGTTAACTAAAGTGGTCAACTAATGTTAACTAATGAAACCTTATTGTAAAGTGTTACTGATCTAGCCGTCTAAATCTACTAAAGAGCAGTGAATTTTTTTTTCCTTTGTCTTTTGTTGTTTGATTAACATTAAGGACACTGACAGAAGCTGTATATTAGGCTGCTGTCACTTTAAGGCAGAATGCACAGATCCAATATACTGTTAAACATTTATTTCCCAACTGTTTCTGTCAACTTAAGACATAACCGACTGCATTTATGCAATGACTCACCAATTGAGACATATTTCATATGGCATTTTGACATATTTCTATATATTTAACTGTTTAGGCGCGAACCTGAAGCTCAAAGTTCACATTGCTTTTCCATGAGTTCCACTCCTCTCAGAGAGTGCGCACAGAAATCTGCATGGAGAACAGATCTCTTCCGCGGCTTAATGCAGTTTTAAAAACTCTTCTTCACGTCCTGCAGTTTAGCAACAGTAGACTGCATTTTATGACAATCATTGATTTAGCTGATTTGGACGTTAGGTTTGAGCTTTTAGGGAGGAATAAAAGCGCACAGCTATGAAGGAAAGAAATGCACTCAATCGCACAGCCCTAATTTCTTACTGATATTGCTGTAGAGTTGCTGTCGTTGCAATGTCTTTCATGTGTTTTTATTTTATTTATTTTTATTCGCAAACAGCGTATACATTGATCTAGTGATACATGATCTAGTGTTTTCAGTGTCTCAGAGTAGCTTGAGACATATGATGAAATAATATAATTAATATTTCTTATTTTGTTTAATATTTTTTTGGTTATTTATAATAATAATTATTATTATTATTGATATATTATCAGAAATATTTTGGCAAAATTGTGCATCTATATAAAAAAGTACAGCAAATCTGGAGCTTTTTTTGTTTTATTTTTTTATTTTAATCGGAAATTTCTCCCCCAAACGGTTCAGCCCTATGCAAAACTACTCGGCCCATTTATAAGACAGACTTGTGTGATGAAACTATACTTCCCATCATTCTCTTTGGTAGTGTGAGGAAGATAAAATATCCATCGATTACACGTCTAATGTGCATAATTTGCTCTTACTTTTGTTGCACTAAGCATCCTGTATTTGTCAATAAGTGAAAAAGAGAGAAAGAAAAATGAATGCATCACTGATCTATATAGAATGACATTATATAGATCAGTGGAATGCATCTAATTTTTCCCCCCAACCAAAAATCACTTAAATAAACAATTCATTGTAATTACGATTTCCGATTGTGCGAAGTTGGAAAGAGGAAGCTCTAACATCTGTCACCCATCTGTCATTTTCCGTTAGCCTGAAAAAACTGGGTGAATTCCTAAGCAGTTTGGGAAGGGTGTTGGAAAATCTTCAGAATTTCCTAGAATCCCTGGAATTCCTAGTGTGTAGATCTTCCCATTGTGTCCATGGTATTTATTTTATGTATGCATCTCACAAAGAAATGTCCAGGTCGAATTTCATAATCAGAAATTATATTTTGTAATGCATAAATGTTAACATTTTTGCATAAAGAAATTTCTACATA